ATTGGATTTGGCCCATGGTTTGTCAACTCCTGAGAGCCACTAGAACAGAATTCTAGAGGATTTGTTCAGGGGCAACTTACAATTAGTCACACTGTATAGTACAATACTAAACATTATCATCAAAAGTCCTTTGTGGCTAGGCAGGTGGGCAAAGCTTCTGGCTAAGGTCCTTCTGTAATTATGCCCTGTGTCCAATCTCACAAAGCAGGTTATTTTGGCATTCTAGGTTTCCCATGCTGTCCCTGAATTTAATCTACATCTCGTCTAGGGCCATTACACAGAGCTGGGTTTACTCTCATCAACGCCCCCCCACAACCTCCCTCAGGCTATTTCTGATGGTAGGCCTATACTATCCTTCACCAAGGACAGAGAAAACTCAGGAAAAGATGGCCTTAGGGTGGTAGGATGTGTTCGGTACAAGATAAATGTGGGCCATTTATCCGAGTGGAGCGCCTTAGCAGGTAGTGATATATAAGTGTTCACTTAATCTCAACTCAACCTGACTTATGCCTTCATAGAATGAGAAAATGCCAGGAGAAAGTGTTTTGAATTATCCTTGGGTCAAGCAAATGTGTTCTGCAATCAATGTGTGATGTCACTTTGCTGTCCCTTTAGCAGGTGGCAGTTCTCAGGTTATGTTTTGTGGTATGATCCCCTCCCAGGACTGAGCAGTGTGTACCAGGCACGGCGGTGCATATCTTTGATCCCAGCACCTGGGAGGCAGAGGCAGGTGGGTCTCTGGCTTTGAGGCCAGCCTGGCCCACAGAGTGAGTTCCAGGGTCTGAAGTGGAAGGTGACAGGGATGGATACTGCTTCAGACAGAGGTTGGGACTTGTTACCACGCAGGTGGCAACTGTAGTCAAGAGAACGAACTAGGTTAATGGAGAGCGCGGAGTAAGAAGTGTTACAGCTAGTGGTAGAGCCAAGATGCAAAGGGAGCCTGGAACAGCACCTCCAAGTGAGTGAGGACGGAGGAAAGCTAGGAGAAGGGTTTCCCAGAGTAGGTCACGTTCATGGCTACTGGCCATTAAGACTTGATCACATGTGTTTGGAAGGCTCAATGGCAACTCACAGCAACCCCGTCCACCTGCAGCCTCCTGCGTTCCTTGTACTCCACCTTCAGCCACACGGCAAGGGATCATTCGGTTTCTCCCCAGTTCTCCTTCGGGGTGCCTCCTCCCCACCCCCGCTCCTCCAGAAGGCCCGGTCATTTCCATTCTCTTCTCTTCAGAAGATCTAAGTCATTAGCTTTAGGCAGCAAGATTACCTTCCAACCGTGGATGGCGCTTTCAAAAAAACTGACAAAGGAAAAGTTATTTGATTTGGCGTGGTGTTTTATGGAACACAGGCATGAAATCTCTACTGCCTCTAGACAGTTTCAATTTAGTTTTTTTTTTTTAAAAAAAGGCTTTGTTTTTGTTGGCTTTTTGAGCCACAGTAGAAAAGAAAATGATGGCAAAATAAGAAAAAAATAGCACCAGTTTTAAATGCTTTTAACAGAAGAACAGTCATCCTCTGCTGCCACCTACTGGTCATAGCTGCAGTCTGCATGTGTTCCTAGTTCTTCAAAGTCAGAGTCACTGTTAGATGCTGTTAGATACAGCTCATTGTCAGTAAAGTGGTGTGTGTGTGTGTGTGTGTGTGTGTGTGTGTATGGAGGGGGGTGTTGGAGATTTATAGCCCATGGAACTCTTTCTAGGGAATACAGATAAGATGGGACATCAGTAATCTTCTTTGTCGAAGTTTGAGGAGAAACGCCCCTCAATGTGAGGGTGAGGACATGGGGCTGGCAAGGCCTTCTCCAGTCACCTCCAGGCTTAAGCAAGACACTGTGTTCATTCATTCGAACACACAGACATTCCTTTCTTTCATGAAATAATGTTTTCCTTAATCTTTTTCTGAGTACAAAAAAGCAATACAGGCTCATTGTAAAAGCTCTAGAAACCCAGAGAAATATCAAAGTTAACTAAAAGCGTTGAGGTTGGCATCACAGGGTGGCTGGGGGTGCAATTTGTCATAATCACCAGCAACACTCCCGAAGTCACTGTGGGGGGACATGTAATTTACAGCAAAATTCTGCTTTCTGTATAAGGGCAATATGTAGTGTCAAGACAAACCGTCCAGCTTCCCTCTTTTTTTTATTTTTTCTGGTGTGTTTTTTCAAAACATTATTTTTTAAAAAATTTATTTTATATTCCAAGCACAGTTCTCCCTCTCACTCCTCCTCCTGTCCCCCCACCTCCCCCAGAACCCATCTGCCATCCACTCCTCCCAATGGGTAAGGGCTCCCATGGGGAGTCAACAAAGCCTGGTGCATTAAATTGGGGCAGGACCAAGCCCCTCCCCTCTACATTAAGGCTGAGCATGGCATCCCACCATAGGGAATGGACTCCAACAATGTAGCTCATGCACCAGGGATAGATCCTGGCCCTACTGCCAGGGGCCTCTCAGATAGTCCAAGCTTCACCCCTGTCTCCCACATAAGGGTGACTTTCCCATATAAATCAGATTGGTGAATACCCCAACTACCATCATAGAGCTTTCATCCAGCAACTGACGGGACCAGATGCAGAGATCCACAGCCAAGCACCAGGCCAAACTCAGGGAATCCAGTCGAAGAGAGGGAGGAGGGAATATATGAGTAAGGGAGGTCAAGATCATGATAGAGAAATCTACAGAGACAGCTGAACCAAGCTCATGGAAACTCATGAACTCTAGACAGCTGTGGAACCTCCATGGGACTGAACCAGTTTTCCTCTTAGTGGCTTCTAAACTTCCCTCCATGCACATTCTGAAGTCATCACGGACTACAGTATCATGATCCACACTGCCTGCTGTCAAGTGTTTAGAATGCTGTTTCCTAGTATTTTCATTTGCACGTATTGAGCAATGCCGCAGGTTTCACAATGAGGTTTTTGTGCATGCATGCAATGTACTCCAATCACATTTAACCTAATCACCCTCTCCTTTTCCTTTCTCCCTCCTCTTTGGTCTCCCTTTCCCCCAAGTAGTCCCCATTCTACTTTTTTTGATTCTTCTTTAACTTTAGTTTCCACCTAGTAGAAACTTTTTTTCTATATAGTGGCACTTTTTTTTTTTTTGTGAGACTGGCTTATTTGGTTTAACATGATCATCTCCAGTTCCATCCAGTTTCCCCGTGAATACCATGATTTTGCTTTTTTCTATGGCTGAATAAAATTCCACTGAGCATACATATCTCACTTTCTTTATCCATTCATTTGTTGATGTCTGATGTGGGATTTCCCTCTGTATGCTGTGATTACCATTAATAAATAAAGAAACTACTTTGAACCAATAGCAGGGCAGAACTTAGCTAGGCAGGGAAAACTAAACTGAATGCTGGGAAAAAGAAGGTCAGAGTCCCCTGCTGGAGACAGATGCCAGAACTTTAGCTAGTAAGCCACAGCCACGTGGCCATACACAGATTAATAAAAATGAGTTAAATTAATATATGAGTTAGCCAATAAGAAGCTAGAGCTAATGAGCCAAGCAGTGATTTAATTAATACAGTTTCTGTGTGGTTATTTCGGGGCTAAGCAGCCAGGAACCAACAAGTGTCTCTCTCCTTCTACAGATGGTTTCATTTTAAGCTGTTTTGCATAGTGTAGCAATAAACATGGCTGTCTATAGCTCTGAGGTGTGTTGACAGAGTCTTTCAGTATCTTCATGTGTGGCATAGCTGGGTCATATGGTCCTTGTATTTGCAGTTTATCTGAGGAACCTCCAATCAATTTCTCTAGTTGCTATACCAGTTCACATTCTCATCAGCACTATGTACGGGTTCCTCTTTCTCCGAATACTTGCTAGCATTTGTTTTCGTCTTAAATTCCACTCTGATTGGGTTAGATGGAATCTCAAAATAGTTTTGTCTTTGTTTTGTTTTGAGACAGGGTTTCTCTGTGTAGCCCTGGATATCTTAGAAATCCCTCTGTAGCCCAGGCTGGCCTTGAACTCACAGAGATCCAACTGCCTGCTCCTCCTGAGTACTGGAATTAAAGGTGTGCACCACCACCACCCGGCTGTTCATTTTTTCAATAGCAGAGAAAATGTAGATTTATTAAGGAAAAGTGAGAAAGAACTACAGAGAGTGGGATGGGCTCTTTAATGTCCCTTTCACTGGTGCCTAAAACACTGGGCAGTTACATGCGCACTGACTATTTGCACTTCCTTTGAGAGTTGTCTGTTCAATTAACTTGCACATTTATAGGCTGAATTGTCTGTTCTTTAAAAAACATTTTATTTATTCGTTCACAATATTTTTCTTTTCTTTTTTCCTTTTCCCTTTCGCTTTTCTTTCTTTCTTTTTCTTCTGAGATAAGGTCTCTCGACATAGCCCTGGCTGAGCTGGAACTCCCTGTGTAGACCATGTTGGCCTCTAACTCACAGGCATCTGCCTGCCTCTGCCTATTGAGTGCTGGGATTAAAGGTGTGTGCCATCACCATCTGGCTCAATGTTTGCTCTTTTGATGCTTGATTTTTGAGTGTTTTATATACGTTACATGGGAAGTAGAAAATAGAAAAAGACAAGATCTCCTGAGTAGATTGGGAGCATGGGGATCTTGGGGGAGGGTTGAAGGGGGGAGCAGAGAGGCAGGGAGGGGAGCAGAGAAAAATGTAGAGCTCAATAAATATCAATAAAAAACCAAACTTATCATAAGCAAGGTGTTGACAGCAAACATCTTTAATCACAGCACTTGGGGGCGAGGCAGTCAAATCTCTGAATTCGAGGCCACAGAGTGAGTTTCAGTGAGTTCCAGGACAGCCAGGGCTACACCAAGAAATGCTGTCTTAAACAACAATCACAAAAAATAAACCAAAACAAACAAACAAACAAAAAACCCAAAACAAAACTGATCTTCCTGTACTACATTAATGGTATGTACTAATTCCCCACCTGCTTGCTCGCTCCCCCCCCCCCCCCCCCCCCCCCCCCCCCCCCCCCCCNCTCTCTCTCTCTCTCTCTCTCTCTCTCTCACACACACACACACACACACACACACACGCATGTTTCTCTGAAGTTAGAACTCAGAATGAATAATTAGTTGTATGCACATTTGCACATTTTAGGAACATGTATTGCACACAGACTTACATCTTCATGTATTTTCAGGAATAATTTTTGTTAACCAAATATTATTGAGTGCTTTTCCTTTGCAAGGCCCTGTGGGGAAAACTCTAAATATTCTGCTTGGTTCCATCTTTGTTGGGACTTCTGGTCCCCAGGGGCAGCAACACTCTCTGACAGGTGGCAGTCCTAAAGCATAGCCTAGAGGGAAAGTCCAGGAATGTAGGAGGCGGGAGGAAGCTTTTCTGGAGGAGAGGACAGCAGGTTTGCTTGGGCCTGAACTGATGGAGATATAGGAGCTAGGCCAGTGGTTCTCAACTTGTGGGTCACAACCCTTTCATAGGAATTACATTAGATATCCTGCATATCGGATATTTACATTACGATTCATAACAGCAGCAAAGTTCCAGTTATGGTCGGGAGTCATCACAACTTGAAGAACTGTACTGAAGGATCACAGCATTAAGAAGGTTGAGAACCACCGAGCTAGAGGGATGCAGACTGGGCAGAAGGATGTAGGTGGGTTTCTGCAGCGGGAGTGATAAGAAGGCTGGGAGTGGGAGATTCACTCACAGAAGTGTGCAGACAAGAAGCTCAGGTTGAAGAATTAGAGCTTGTGTGGTCAGTGGGAGGGAAAGGGCACGGAGAGGCAGAGAGGCGCTACGTCGGTGGAATGCAATAATGATCAAGATAAGCCAAAAGAGAGGGAGACTGGCAGCTGAAAAGTTAGGCAGGGGTTGGAGAGCCTCAAGCACTGCACCCCAGATCTGATGTGATGACAGCTTGAATTCTGTGGGGCCCAGGAAGTGGGCAAGGGCAAAGAGGGCCCAGATGGGGGGAAACTTTGAGTGTCCAACCTTGGTTCCATTTCTTAGGGTGTCTTTTCAGACATTTATGTTTACTCCCCAACTCTTCCTTTCTGCTTTCCCCCTTTCTTCCATCAGCCACTCACCCTTCTCTCCCTTTTTCAAACCCATCCTCCCTCCACCGGCTTCTTCTTCCGCATTCTTATTCCCTGCTTTTCCCCAAGTATCTTTGTCTTAAAAAAAAAAAAAAAGAGTCCATATATTTGTCTTATCTCCCATCTTACCCATTTCAGGTTCCCTCCAAGCCTTCCAGCGGCCTGTAGCTAGTAAGTGCTTCATAAGTACTTGTTGACTTCTAATTGGTACAGGACTACAACTGGGGCCCAGAGGCCTGGAGTACACAAAGGCTTAGGCCTGGGCTTTCAGAGAGAGGAAGATACCAGGTGAAGCAGGTTAAAGTCCAAGCTAAATTGAATATCAGCTACAAGCAAGGATATTAAGTTGATGCTCTGTGGTGAGAATGAAGCTAAAGGGGATTTAAAGGGGCCTTTCTACTACTATGGTTTGGATGTTTAGTGTTCCCTAAAGGTTCATCACCTGGGGTGACGATACTAAGAGATGTTGTGAAACTGTCTTCATGGCATAGCCATTGCCATCTTGGGGTCAGAGCAGCTGTGATTACTCACTATTATCATTTCTGCCTAGGAGGCATGAGGAAAGGTAATCAGACCCCCCCCCCCATCCCAGCCACTCACTTCCTCTTGTTTGCCCCTAGTTACACATCACCTTGTTCCAGCTGCACACGGTTTAGGGAAGTGGTAGAGCGTACGTACGTACATACGTAGTACGTAGGAGGTGGAAGGTTGTCTTGGGGAGGAGACTGCAGAGATGCAGCTTTTCTGAGTCATCACTCATGCTAGGGTGGGGCTTTCTGATGATGCAGCTGCTTGTGAGTCACCCATGCTCCTGGAAGAACTGGAATAAATTCACACATCCACCAAACTAGACTTGGATAGAATCAGCTCTCTGGTCTATCTCTGTCCTGTATGTCTTAGGGGTAAACAGACTTCCCAGAAAAAGTAATTGCAACAGAGGCTTTTGACACTTTCAAGAGGTAGGGCCTAGTGGGGGAGATCCTTAGATAAGTGGGGAGCATGCACTTCAAAGCGCTAGCAGGACACCTATCCCCTCATTTTGTCCCACCATGAACTTCCCACCATTGCCTTCTGACACCCACACTAGAAGGCAAAAAAAAAAAAAAATCTGGTCACATGATTATGGACCAAACCTCCCAAATCAAGAGCTAAGTAAGCCCTTTCTCCTTTTAAGTTAATTATTTCAGGTATTTTATCCTAACAAGGGAAGCACACACACACCTACATTCGTTTTCAGCACAGTAGTGGAGGTAACAGTTGCTTCTAATAGTCCAATTTGGACTCAGGAACATATTCTATTCCGTCATTAGTGGAGTAGTAAGTTACAGTCTCTTTGAGCCTTGCCTTGACTGTGGAAATGGGGATAAAGCAGTATCCCCGTCATAAGTTTCTAAGACCACTGTCAAGGCCAGAGGGGATGAAAAATGCAATATGACAGTATGGCACCATTATAGCTCTTGTGAGAGAAAGAAACATTCATATATAGAGAGAGGGGGTAGGGGGAGGGGGAGGGAGGTATAACCACATCAGCCTTCTGACAAGGGACACCCATAGCTTTTGTTGCTTGTGAAACAAACTCCTGTCCTTGGTTTCTTAGGTCCCCAACTACCTCTTGTCCAGCACAACCTCCCTGTCCCTGGGCTCTGGGCTCTGCCTGCTTGTCCTCAGAACAGGCCAGCTGTTTTTCTGCCTTAGGACCGTTCCTCCCTTCTTTTGTTGAGATATAATCTTTGCACCTGGAGCCTGACTGTTTGGTTTCTGTGGTAGGTATTGTGTCACTGCAGGTCAAATACAGATAAGGTATCTTTTGGCTCCAGGGGACTTCGGAAGATCAGAGCCACAACCTCGAAGACGCCTTCCCTGTGCGAGTCTTGCTGTGTCCTCTTGTGCTCACTCTGCCCCGTTCTCTCCACAGGGCTTGTGATGATCTGCAGTTGCTTTGTGAAGGGTGTGCACGTCTGTCTACCTCTAGCTGCTCCACCTGGCCAATGAGAGCACCATCAGAGTAGGGACTTTGTCTTGTTTAGGTCTACGACTCTAGCACTCTGCATAGCAACAGTACATAGAGGAGACACCCAAGAAATATTATCAAAATATAGTACTGTTATTGAAGGTGTGAGAGGACGCGTCATGGTTGACAGGACAAAGTCTGGCAAGGGTGGATGGAGAAAGCGTCAAAGGCATAGATGGAGGAGTTGACCTCAGCAAGGAAGAACACAACTTATTTCTGAGACGGGGCAGAAAAGAGGGGGTGGGGTGAAGATAGAGATATTGGGATGTGCAGGGGCAGCTCTTTGAGAGGGTGGCATCTGCCAGATGGCTTTGACATCTTCACAAAGTGGATGGGTACCTGTCGGGAGCTGAAGGGCAGCAGGAGAGGGGTCTGAGTATGGAAACCAATGGAACATTTTGGAATAATTAGGTTAGCTGCCATTTATTGAGCACTTGTTTACCAGGGGCTGCTCTAGGCCTTTAAAATATAACTGAGTTTGGCATCATCACAAGTCTGTAAGGAGGGGAGGACTATTATTGCTTCTATTCTAAGAGTGGGATCACTGCAGTTTGGATATATTTTGAGTGTATCAAGCCAAAGGACATGTGTTGTAAGTTTGGTCCCTAGTGTTGAGATGGCAGGAATCTTGAAGAGGTGGAACCTAGTCATCACTGGGGATGCTGTCTTTGAAAGGGATTAATGTAGTTCTCAAAGGACTTGGGTTACTTCTCATAAGTGGGTTGCCGTTAAAAGAGAAGAGCGGGCCCCCTGAAAAGCTTGCTTCCTCTTTGTGATCTCTTCCTATTGCAGTGCTCCGTCCATGATGTAATCCACTATGTTGTGATAAAGCCAGAAGTCCCTCACTAGAACTGAGCAGATTCCAGCACCGACTGAGATATCCAAACATGAAGTTGTACGAATGATAAGCGCCCAGCCTCAGGTAGTTGGTTATAGCAATATAAAATGAACTAAGTATATAAAAATTTTGATTTGCCAATTATCTATCAATGAAGCTGGTGAAAACGTGGAGATTAAGCCAGAGAAGAGAATGAGGAGGGGGTCAATTAACTTTTGCCTAAGGGAAATTTTATATATATTTAAAATATAAAATATGACAGATCTGGGATTTGAACTCATGTTGGAGACTACATGAAAAGCCAGTAACATTTCCTATCTCTTTAGTTCTTAGTGGAACATGTAAAAGATCAGCTGGATGTGGATAGAAGGTCCATGGAACCCCATGTGATGGACACAGGGCTAGTCAGTCATAACACTATGAAAGAAAGCCAAAGAATGGGAGGAAAGAACGTGAATGGGACAACATAGAGAGCTAGTATTAGGCACAGCAAGCTGGGATCTGAGGCATTCTGAAATGGGAGGCAAAGAGGGAATTAGTCGATATTATGTACAAAGACTTGAGCTGGGAAAGAATTCGCAGCTCACTAAAAGGGGTAAACGAACAATGCCAGATCAGAGTGGCAGTAATAGAGAAGGGTTATTGGTAGATGACTAAGATACTTCAGGGTAGAATTATTCAAAACATGGTCACGTAATCCTGACCTGGTCATGAATGCTCTTGGATACTTTAGAGCAGTGCTTCTCACTTGTGATGGCTATTCTTGGTTATCTTTGATTTGGATCTTGAGACAAGAAGACACAGGCCTTTGATCCAGACCTTGAGGCTAGAAGGCACACCTACAATCTCGGGCCACACCTTCTGCTGGAAGCCTAGATAAGAGCAATGGAAGGAGGAAGGGTTAAAGTTTCACCTGCCTGCCCTCCCCTAGTCAGCACAGGCATCCTTCACTGGCATTGGAGTCTGCTTCTCCAGGATTCCAGCACACACAGAAGCCCAGCTGAGACACAGGCTTTATGGGACTGAGCAACTACTAGATTCTTGTTCTTTCCATCCACAATTAGCCATTGTTGGACTGGAGCCTGTAAGTCATTCCAGTAAACACACACACACACACACACACACACACACACACACACACTTCTCTTTTAACGTGTGTGTGTGTGTGTGTATGTGTGTGTGTGTGTGTGTATGGAGAGAGATAATTAATTCCACAAATTCTGCGACTCTGGAGAACCCTGACTAATACATCAAACTTTTAATGCCATGTTGTGGAACCATACAATTATTTTGTTGCTACTTCATAACTATAATTTTGATACTCTTAAGAATTGCAATGTAAACATCTGATATACAAGATATCTGATCTGCAACTCCAAAGGGGTTGCGACCCATAGGCAAGCACTCATGTAGAGTGTGGATTACCATACCTCAGTACTACCACAGCAGAATTCTGAGAGTGAGGCCTGGGGACCTACCTGCTTTTGAACCGTCTCCAGGTGATTCTTGGATACACATAGACTTAGTAGCCACCAAATTCAAGGCTTGGTATACCTTGGGAAATTTTAAGTTTTTTTTTTTTTCGTTTTTAGATCTGACCTACTGCAACACTTCCATTAATTAGGAATTCAGGAGAGTGGAGAGATTGGTGGTCTTAAGTCATGTTGTCTGCTATAGGGTGGGCTGAAGAGTAAGACAATTAGAAAGATAATGACCAGGTAAGAAGGTGTGCCCAAGGGATTATGGTGACCTGGACTAGTGAGAAAGATTAATGTGTGGTACCAACACTGAGGAGGGGTTGGAAGGAAATGGATGAACAGATGTTTAGCCTAAGCTAAGCATCGGATGGTAGCATTAGCATACTCAGACTTGAGAGATAACTGATAGGGGATAGGGACTGGGCAGAAATAAATGCATTTGGGATAAGGAGTCCATTTTGGACATGTGAAGCTTGTGATGCCTGTGGGTTTTTCAAAGGTAGATATCAGTCAACTAATTTGACACATTGGGTAGAAAAAGAGAGATGAGCTGGAAAGAGACATTTAGGGTCAGGATCACTGTGGTGCTAAGGCCATGGCAAATGATAAGATATCATGAAAGGGATTGATGGATGAGCAGAGTAGAACTGTTTGGAAAAGGTCAGTCCTGGTTTAGATGGAGAAGAGGCTTTAATGGGCTGGGCGGTGGTGGCGCACGCCTTTAATCCCAGCACTCCAGAGGCAGAGGCAGGTGGATCTCTGTGAGTTCGAGACCAGCCTGGTCTACAAGAGCTAGTTCCAGGACAGGCTCCAAAGCAAAACCCTGTCTTGAAAAACAAAGAAAGAGGAAAAAAAAAGAAGAGGCTTAATGGGCATAAGGAAGCATAAATGACTGACTAGGAGTTCTAGTTCCACAGAATGGAACACCAGTTAGCTTGTAGGAAACCTAGGCATGGGGTAGCTTGCTCCACGAAGTGAATTAGACTTGGCGCAACACATCTGCAATCCCAGCACTAGAAGGCCAGGGAGGGAGGATTGCTGCTGGTTTTAAGACTAGCCTGGTCTATATAGTGATACCTTGGATCAAAAGTGGGGAGATAGGGACTGGAGAGATGGCTCAGTGGTTAAAAGCACTGACTGTTCTTCCAGAGGACCCGGGTTCAATTTCCAACACCCACATGGCAGCTCACAACTGTCTGAAGATCCAGTTCCAAGGGATCTGACACCTTCATACCGATGCACATAAAATTAAAAAGTTAATAAACTATAAAGAATTTTTTTAAAGTAGGGAGATAAAGGTTTCAGAGCCTCTGAAACAAGCATTATTAAAGTAGACATCCCCATGAACAGGAATTACGGCAGGGGGTGGGGTAGACAGGGCAATTGGGAACTAGATAATGATAATTGTACTGTGGAGGCCAACAGGCAACCAGTGTGGTCTCTGGTCCATCAGCCTCAGCCTTCGCTGGTGTGATGGCTAGCTCTGATGTCAACCTCACACAGCCTAGAATCACATAGGAAGAGGGGTTCGATGAGGGTTTGAATACATTGGGTTGGACTCTGGACATGTCTTAGGTGAGTGTCTGATTACTGATGTGGGAAGACCTTGCCCACTGTGGGCAGCACCATTTACCAGGCAGGGGGTCTGGAACTGTAACAGAGTAGAAATAGAGCTGAGCACAAGCAAGCATGCAAGTATGTATGCATTAGATTCTCTCTGCTTTTGTCTAGGGATGTCATGTGACCAACTGTCTCAGGCTCCTGCCACTGTGACTTCCTATTAGTGGTGGGCTGGAAGCTAGAATTGTGGGTTAATAAATAATGTTTATTTATCATGTTTCTGGTATTCTGCCTCCATGTATCCCTGCAGAGCAGAAGAGGGCACCGGACCTCATTAGAGATGGTTGTGAGCCATCATGTGGTTTCTGGCTATTGAACTCGGGCCCTTCTGGAAGAGCAACCAGTGCTCTTAACCTCTGAGCCATCTCTCCAGCCTGAATTGTGGGTTAAAATAAACCCTTTCTCCCTTAAAAAGAAGCCCTTTATCCCTTAAGTTGCTTTTTGTCAGGATATTATATCACAGCAACAGAAATGAAACTAGAACACCCAAGAACTTGTCAGAAATACAAATGTTTGCCATTTCCCCTGCTAGGCTTTAAACATACTTGTCTTCAGAAAAAAAAATTAATGTTGGGGCTCACTTCCCAGTCATATCAGTGTCAAAAGGTAGGATCTAACGGGAGGGATGGGGGTCATAAGGACAGAGCCTTTAATAATTGAAATTAATGCTTTTCTTGTGGGAATGGGTTACATATAATGAATTCAGTCCTTTGTCATTCCTAAATGTCTCCTCCTCCTATTTCCTGCTAAGAGTTGAAGAACCAGGAAGCCCACAGCAGAAGCCAAGCAGATGCCTGTGCCATGCTCCTGAGATCTTCAACCCCCATAGTTGTCAGTCAAAATAAATATCTATGCCTCTTAAATTACCTTGTCTTGTCTATGGCCACGGCACTACGATCATTCCTGATCCCATCGAAATTATCCAGTCCTCAAGTATTCTGTTATAGCAACGGAACATGAAATAAGATATCCACCCCAGACCTACTCTGCAATTTAAAGGTGACTTCCAGTTTTCCTGGTAGTTCTTAAGCCCTCGGGTGACTCTGTATAGTGTGAGGACCAATGGCCTAGGAAGCTCTCAAGAGCTTTTTTTTTTATGCCTAAGACTTGAGAGGGCAATCTCATTCAAGGGTCTTAAGTGTAGCTATGGCAGTGGTCATTTTTACATGCTGCAGTAAAATTAGAGCAGCTTCCAGGTGTTGCTGATGCTGCTGTCCTTGGGGACCACATTTTGAGAACCATAGCTGTAGATGATGGCAATGAAGGCCAGGATTAAGAACCACTCACCTAAATTGTAGATGAGGAAGTCAACAGTCCAGAGAAATGTCTTCGAAGCATGATTCAGGAACAGGCAAACTCCTTTTCTTTACTAAGGCGGTCAGGGGAATAGGAATAGCTTCCCCAGGACAGAGATAGAAAGTAGCACTGTGGGCTAAGAATCAATTCAGGTAAGGAGTTAGCTGTGGTCTAGGCAGCAAAGGTCAAAACAAGGCATTTACTCACCAAGCAGGAAGAGGTAGAAGTCAGGCACACAGGATAAGGCAAAGCTCCTTAAAAGGCAAGAGGCAGTAGGGAGGAATGGGCAGAGCAAGCTGTGTGGCTCCCAAAGTTGGACAGCAGCCAGGTGTTTCACGTGGGTGGGCTTGCTATTCATTCTTTTTTGTTTGTTTAATTTGAGTGGGTGTGGCCAAAGAGATGGCTCAGGAGCTAAAAGCACATACTGTCCCAAGGATCTGAGCTCTGTTCTTAGCACTTATATCAATTAACTTACCTAGAACCACAGTGCACAAGCACACACACACTCACACACACACACACACACACACACACACACACACACACACACACACACACGAAGAAACAAACTACCCCAATCAATCAAGACAGGGCCTTGTTACACAGCTAAGACTAACCTTGATCCCAGCATATAACCCAGGCTGGCTTCTAAATTGGTTTGGCCTCCTAAGCAAATACTGGGTTTACAGATATATACCACCATATTTGTTATATCCCAAGCCCACTTTGCAAAAGGTTTATGGAGGCCACCCAGATGGGCCAGTGAGTGACAAGAACTTGTCACACAAGCTGGAAAATCTGAATTTAATCCCTGAATCCCAGTATAAGGAAAGAACTGAATCCTGGAAGTTGTTCCATGTCCTACTCACTCTCTCTCTCTCTCTCTCTCTCTCTCTCTCTCTCTCTCTCCTCTCTCTCTCTCTCTCTCTCTCTCTCTCTCTCTCTCTCTCTCTCGTCTCCCTATCTCTCTGTCTCTCTTTCTCTCTCTCACACACACTAAAAATAATAATTATCATTTGAGAATCGGCTACCCATGAGGTCTGAGACACAGAGGCATAGCTGTGCTGGGCTGGCATGTCTCAGGGTCAGATGACGGAGAGTGGAAGAGACTAAGTACAAGCTGGTTCTTGCCTAGCTGACAAGGTTATTAGCATTAAGTGAGAAATCTCAAGCCTTAGGGACAGTCAGTGTAATAGAAACAGAAATCTGGGAGTGGGAAATCTATAGAGCACTTCTATGTGGCACGCAATATTGCTGGCACTTATTAATGTACTTTCAATTTAACAATGCCAGACCTCGAAGACCATGAGAAAGTTGGGACGTTGTTCTAAATGTGCCAGGTAATTGTTCAGTTTTTTTTTTTAACAAGGAGGTGATGAGACTGACGCAATTATATCACATAGGTCAATATTACACTTGTTTCATTTTACAGGCAAGAACACTATAGGGTAACTAGTCCAAAGTCACTCACAATAAAGAAGTGGCAGAAGCTGGATTGAACAGCAGACTCAAGATAAGGCAACTGGGGTGAAATGCTAACTGGTGGGTATAAGTTAAGGCTATGTAGGGTGTTCATTGACCCACATCAAACTGTGAAGCTTAAGCCTTTTCTTTCCACCATACTACAGGACGCGTCAATCATTGTCCCCTCTGAAACGCTCTATTTGAACAATGACAATGAATTAGATCATTTACTAAGTATCTCTCCTTAACATTCTGAGGTTTTTACAGTTACACTAGGTGGCTATGGATTATTAAACCACACCAAGAGCCTGTTCAACCTGCTTTGCCACAAAAAGACTCTAGCAGGGCCCCTATAACAAGCCAGCAGCAGGGAAGGTAGGGGATGCAGATTTGCTTTGACTTCTGACAAGGACAGCTACGACGCCTGCTATGCCATGTTGCCCCCTGCTACATAGAAACTGCTGGCTGGCAGTCTCCATTCACAGAAGAGGACACCTTCTTCTGCCAAGCCTTTGGGTGGAGCTAGAACACCCCCCCCCCCACACACACACCAAGGATTCCTAACAACACTGAATCAGCGCATGGATCTGGCAGGCTCACAGAGGGAGGGAACTGGAAAAAGGCCCTGGCTGAGAAGAAACCTCCAGCTGAAGCTTCTCCAGTCTCCAGAGTAATGAAGTCAGAAGCCACAACTTGATGCTGTGGATGGCCCAGGGCACAGTAGTGTCCTGTTGAGCTGACAAGCGTCCTCTCCAAGTGCCACAGAGCTCATATCAGAGCCTCCCCAAGGTGTTTGTCAATCTATGCACCTCATGACCCTAAGTAACACACTGCTTTTCGGAAGCTCTAACATGGGTTATGTGAAGGCAGGCTCTTTGGGAGGCCCATCTAATCCACCTAGGCTGGCTCCAAGGGCAACTGGGCTCCTCTGAAACGTGGGTGAAAAGTAGGACTTGCCCTACTTCTGGAGCTGGTGGGATCATGGATGTGACCTTGCGGTAACATGTACAGGATTAAGAATCAACATCCAACCAGGCAAGATGGTGTGTAACTACAGCCCTAGCTACAAGGGAGGCTGTCAGGAGGGCTGAGTGAGTCTAGAAGTTCAGCCTCAGCAATATAGTGGAGATTCCATTGCACATGCCATCCCAGGGGGTGGGGTGGGCTGTGTCATGGAACAGATGAATTCACTGTTGCCTGAATCCTTAGGGTCAAAATAAAGATATGTACTGGCCCCAAAAGTACAGGACTTCATCAGTGTCTGAAAATACATGGCTTCTCATCTCTTAGGGAAAATACATCATTTTAAGTTTTTCATTAAAAAAATTTATTCTTTATTTGTGTGTGTGTGTGTGTGTGTACATGTACCATATGTGTGCAGGTGCCTGCAGAGGCTGTTAGATCCCTGGAGATGGAGTTATAGCAGTTGTGAGCTGTCAGGGTGCTGGGAACCAAACCTGGGTCCACCATGAGAGCAGTAAGTGCCCTCAACTGTTGAGACATCTCTCTAGCTCCAATTTTATTTATGTGGCTATGCCACAACATGTGTAGGGGCCACAGGACAATTTTCAGGAGTCAGCTCCTTCTTTCTACCATTGTAGTTCCTGGGAAATGAACTCAGGGCATCGGGATTGATGGCGAGTACCTTCATCCATGGAAACAGCTTTTTTCGAGACAGGGTTTCTCTGTGTAGTCCTGGCTGTCCTGGAACTCACTCTGTAGATCAGGCTGGCCTCGAACTCACAGAGATCCATCTGTCTCTGCCTCCCGAGTGCTGGGATTAAAGGCGTGTGCCACCACCGTTTTGTAGTCCTGGTGCTAAGGATGAAACGCAAGGCCTTGTGCATGGTAAGTAAGCACTTTAAACGAGAGTTCATAGACCCAGTGCGGAAATTTTAAATGGTATTTCTCTGTAAGCTAGGTGGTGACACGTACAGGTATAGTTAGTTGATGGGGACTCCAAAAAAACCAAGTGAGACCAAGTGACACAAATCTTTTCCCTTCAGTTCTTTCTCACTAAGGTCCCAATTATTCTTCACACAACATATATTTATTCAGAAAAATTGCAATAAATTATAATAAAAAAGATGACACAAAATACAGACTCCCACTAGCAGCTTTGCTTAGTGACTGAGACATTTTGTGAAATATAACAAAGAACTTCAGATTAAGAATCAGAAAGCAGTGAAAGAACTAATGTAATAGCATCCAATAGATTTGAATCATTTCTTCCCAAAGACACGAGGTGCTGAGTTTCTCCCTACCAATTGGATATGAAATCCTTAGTTTGGAAGATCTATGAAATAGAACCTTAGAGGAATTAGGGATTCCTCTCTACCAGTTGGATATAAAATCCTTAATTCAGAGGAACTATGAGGTTGAGGTTCTGGAGAGGCAGGGTAGGGAAGCGAGTTTCTTCCATCTGATCTGTTTTGTATCCCCTACCTGGAGATTGTCTAAAAGCCTCAACCGTATATACATCCTAGGCCAAGCTGGACAAAAGGTGGAGGCAGTGAAGCAACTTGGTGCTTTGGCCTGAGGAAGGAAGGACATTACATGCATGCTCCACAGAGCCCCTACTAACCATATTCTTGGTCACCCAAAGACCCAAGGTTGGCAAAATATTACAAAATGGGCACAGGAGAGGCATTTCCCTGTGGACCACCTTGCCTTGCCCCAGCTCCTATCATCTGCTTTTTTAGGTGATTACTTTCTGGCCTAATAGATACAACAAAACTCCTAGTTCCGAGTCTTCCACTAACCAACTATTGACCCAGGTAAGATCTTCAGTTTGCTGGCAAAAATACTTTGAGTTCTTTTTCTCAACTCCCATTTGGGGAAGGGCTTAAGCGGTCTACTGCAGGATACACACCTTTTGTTCTCCAAAGAGCTCAATTTTGAGGAGACTAGAGAACTGGAAAACCACTGGATGTTGGATGTTTCCCTGGCCCTCTCCTCGGATGCTACAAGAGTCATGGAATCAGCACCCAAGATTATACAGACAGTCTTCTACAAGCTCGGTATGCCCAATGGTAAGAGGCAAGAATGAGATAACTTGCATTGGTTTTGATGAAAGAGAACCAAGCAAGCCAATTTTACCAGGCGGTTTGGAGTTAGTAGCTGGTGGTGGCTTGTTTGCCAGCCAATATTAGTTCTTAAAAAAAAAGTCTGTCCACACCACAATGCTTGAATAAAATGAAAAGCCCAGAGTTGTTTTAGGTGGGAGAGGTAAAGTGTGTGGCTGGTCCCACTGACCAGCCTCTCTTACACAGCATTGGATATAGTGACTAGGCACCAAGGGCAGGCTTTTGATCCTTGATGTGAAGGAGTCAGATAAGGAACCCAGAGTCAGCCCTGCTGAGAGAGGGCAATGTATTCCCTTGATATGTCAGAAGATAGGAGAAAGGGTTCTGAGGGTTACCCTCAATAAGTCTAGGGGAGGAAGAAAGGTCCATGGGGCCTCACTTGAGGTACACGGACTCCTTGTTTGACTGTGATGCAAACATTATTCTGGAAGTGGGTTTCTAGTGGAAGATGGGTTCCCAAACATCCAGGATTACGTATGCCTTATGTCAAGTTTCGATACTAATCAGCAAAGGGAAGTAGGAAGCAGGACCTGTCAAGCATGGACAGTTTCACTCCTCAAGTACTCACAGGGCTTTCCTCGCTCGTGTAATTTTCTCACATCAGTGGGATGCCATCTCCATGGTCCATAAAACTATGTAACTAAACATGACCCAAGACAAGGGAATATGGTTCCACCAAGTGTGGATCCACGAGAAGGCCAAAGGTACAGTGACACATAGACATCCTTGTAGTAGAAATGCACCAGTGTATGTACCAATCACATGTAGACAGTGAACTTCATGGTTGAGGACACCCATGGAGTCACTAGTCTCATCTAGGTGTCCTTCAGAGTGCAAAGTAGTG